GGAAACTCGGGGACTGCGCCTACCTGATGAGTCCCAGGAGGGGCGAAATCGGTCCTGGGCTGTCGAAGAGTTTTCAGCAACCTTGTGAATAGCTTCCTTCATGAAAATAGAGGGAAGTATTTTTTTTCAAAAGTGGACACAAAAGCAAGAAAATGAACAGAAGACCCCACTGGGAGACATGTTTATGACCTCAACTGCGGAGGCATTTGAAAGAAATTAGTGCAGGGAATACACGCATCCAGATACACAAAACCGCGAGGAGCAATGAAGTGGTATAGTTTCGTGATGGATATAGCGATTTCCCTGATCAGTAAGAAGACTAAGTGATTCCTGTCGAGTTTAACGTGGATCTGCTGCTTAGATAAAGTTTTACGTGGTACAAATGATTTCGTTTGCACGATTCTGACCAGCCCTAGCAACTCATGATACTTCTGCTTCGAACTTATGGTCCTATCTTGTAAACATTTGGGGTTTGCGACCTCATTCAGGAATCAGTTCATGCAAATCAATATGTCCCGGTTTACCGTGGGTTTGTTGCAACCAACTGAATCATCTATTCGCTGCAATGGTTCATTTATGCACACTTAATTTGAAAATCGCTCAGAGAGGGACAACCGGAGTGGTTTTGGGAGGTTCCACCCACGCATATGCTGTGAGATATTTTGTTAAATTCGTTTGGACAGTCATCCTCTTGTTACGAGGCATCCATCCTGGAGAGTTCGTCATCATCATCATCATCAACATGGTCACAGATGCTTCCCCACCTGTGGTTAGACGATGCGTCCTCTGTCGTCTGGTGACGTTTCTTCGTTCAAGCGTTTCTTGATAGGTCAGTCCACCAAACTGGCGAGTCTACACGCCGAGGAAGTGCTGGACTCGAATTCCACTTGCAACAGAGTTCATCAGTAATGCATTTGCTTGGTTGTGTCGGGGTTCGAACTCCACACATCTGACAGTTGATGCTACGCATGCTGGATGCTCCTAAATTGTCACGCGTTCGCACTTGTGCGATGAAACTGGTTTGTCCGGCTTGGAACGGTTTACTGAGGATGCCCAGAATGATCCTATCACAGCACTGTTCTAAGTACTCCAAGTGCTATAAGCAACTCAAAGGAAAAGTAAAACTCACCCGGGGAGTGAACCTTCCATCTGACAAGTCATCACTAGAAAAGCTTATCGGTAAGTGACCATGCGATGTTGATTCATTCCTGTTCAAACGAGAACTAATCACACTGTTAATCAGCCGTAGGTAGCCGACTAATAAGTGTTCAGATTGTTTGCCTGGAGGTCGCGGGTACGAAGCTCCCCCTAGTTTAGTCAGATGACGCAGCTGATGATTCCCAGTGAGGATGAGACAACTGAACATTGCTTGTCGGCCATTCAGCATAGGTTGGTTTCACTTACAGGATGAAACATCCTCTAAATATTTCTGTTTTATTAGAGACACCTTAAAACTTTGGCATACATCAGTAATTCAACCCTTGCATGGTAAACGGTTGTTCCGTCTCTAAACGAATAGTTTTGCCTCGGGCTGGTTGGGTTTAAATCACCTGATGGCACGTACGGTGATTTCAACTTACATTCCAGACTTTATTCGATTGATAATACATGCGTGAAAGAACTTGGACCACGAAAAGGATGTATGAGCCTTGTCTTATGGAGTTCGGTGTTTCTTTAATTCGCATACCTTGACTGCCGAATCTACTTAGCCCTTTTTGGGAACTGCCTCAAATCGTCACTTGGCAAAATCTGCCCCATCCCCACAGATTCATCGGGATTCGACTCGTGTGTAGAGGCCGTTAAAGACTGGTAAAAGATCACGACAGGTTCATATGCCTTCTGTTTTTGGCAACCTTCGTTTTGCAAAGTAGATGCTCAGAGTGTTTACCGGAGTGACTTTGGCGCTGTCCAGCTGAAAGCTTGATAAAGCTTGCCGGCTTTTAACAAAAAAAACTGGAATAAAACCAGGGATTTGGGGGCAGCCCAAGGATAGAAAACCCGGAATGTAACCAGAGAGATGTATAACGCGTGTAAAACAACAGGAACAGTCGAGGCTAACTTGGGGAGAGATCACCGCGATCATCACTATCCCCTTAAATATCCTCATTCGCAAAAGCATGCACTGGAGGTTCATTGAAAAGGGACTGAAAACATTGCTGAGTGTTTAGGGTTAGGTGATCGTTGAGGGATAACTTCAACGGATTTTGTGTGAGCACCAACGTGACTTTGTTGATTGCCAAGCTCTTGATGTGGAAGGTGCGCATTGAAATTTCACAGAGATCCGTGGACTTGCTTCCAAAAGATGTCCGCACAGTTAGTGTTTTCGCTACGACTCGCTGGATATAGCTGCAGTCGAACGACATCCAAATCGAGTATGGCTGCGTGTTGCTTTGCAGTTCAGTCTGTTCTGTGAATGCGCATGTTTTTACAGCTGCAAAAGAATTTTTTTGACCGTGTGAGAGGCTTCGGGGGAGTGGGAAGTCTAGTTCCACGGATTTGGAACCTTAGATGCCCGGTGATGGTCGGTAAGAGACGTAGGTGGACTGTTGTGTAGAAATGCTACTAGGTCGAAGTCACGTGATTTCCTTGTTCACAAGTTTGCCTTCGATATAACGAACAAGTAGGTATCTTCTTCTTCTGGGTCGAATGAACTGAAAGTATTTTCTCATTGTCTTGTGACAGAGTGCCCCGGTTCACCACTCACCGGCAGAGTTTTCGAGAATCCCGCATCGTATACAGATGTAACGTGTAGGCTAGGGTAGGTAGGAGTGAGTGCTGGAAAGTGATCGAAACTAACAAATGTTACTGATGAAAAATGCTTAGTAATTACTAAACTCGAGAGGACACACAGAGGAAAAGATGACAACATTTCTCATACATTCATCAACCGTCAATATGACACGTGTTTGTGGGTTGAGTATATGGTGATCAACGCGAAAACCTCTGCCTTCCTCATGATATACGCCGGACCGCGATTTCCGATGAACTTTGGAGCACACTAGCTGCACACATGTTGGTCTCACCATGATCTCAGAACTGATAGACTCTCAGTTGTCCTCACTTTTACGACCGTATTTGTACAATCCAGTTGGGCTGCTGTTATCTTATCATGGATTTTCAATAAAAAGCGACTACGAGAGAACCTCTTTCTCGCAGCAGCAACTAGGTCAGCTTTCGCCTTTTGCAAGCTGCGTACTTGAAGACGGCGTTCTATTAAAATCCCTTTCAACGACTCTTCTACTCTGAACAGTCCAACACAGTGGCAAATTGTTCTTGTCCTGTAGGACAGTTTCTGGACCAACCAAGTTAAGAAGCCACTCCAGGTTGTTACATTGTGGATAAGGCTCCCTAGACATTTTTGTCCATTATCTCGGCATCCCAAATTACCACTTTGCCCCTTTTTGTAAACAGTGGTAAACTGGAATAAATATCACTGGACAGATCAATATTTGAACCAAAATGCTCGTTAGTATTGAAAATCAGGTTACCAACGCTTGTAATGGTGTTGGGATTCTTATTTGTTACCCAGCCATTCTTAGGAAGGAGGTTCAAATAGGTGATGCTGACTCAGCACCACACGCGCATCTGTGCGATGCAGCATGACAATCAATACAAACAGGGAGCCAATCGGGAGGCGAAATTCACGCGTACCAGAAGGGACCAATAAGAAGCCAAACAGCAGCGTAGGCTGATTGTCCGAACGGGCACCGCGCAATGACCTTTCTACCACAGTTAAACTGGTGTCAAAAAGCGTTCGGCCTTCAGATCTTCCCATGGTAACGATCCTAATCTGATGGTAAACAAGGTTTTCAAATTCACAAAAAACGGTCCTCTGCACATAGAAGAATAGGGTCCAGTGATAAAGCGGACGGGAAGTCTCGTCAGACTTTTTGGCCTTGTAGTTTTACTAAAAAATATGCAGTGGTACCTTAGTCAAAAGCGGCTCAACATCAATAGAAAACATGCTGATGGGACGACCGATAAAGCGACGGAATTCAAAAGAACGACTTAAACAATAGGATGGGACACCAACAAAACCCTACGCCAGATTGTGACGTGAGAAAGCTGTTGGAACGTCGATGGAATTTCAACGCTTTCCAGCAGACTGGTTACGTAACTCCAGAGCTAAAATACCTCAAATGGTATCCCACCTGAACTGCTGAAGATGTGTATCTCTCTCTGGCTTAGTCTATCATCGAGATAATCCGTTGACACGAGGACCTTGCCGACATGTGTTCAATCGTGAAGGAAAGACAACCAAGCGGTGTGCGTCACAAACACAAATACTGGTGATATACATTACTGGAGAGCATATTCATCTCGGTTGACACGTCAACCCACACTGTCAAGTGTGAAGTAACCTGGAGTAATCAATACATTTGATTTTGAAGTTTAGCACCACCGTCGTATAAACCTGTTTCGGTCAAGTTACCAACTTACCTAGGGAGAAGAATTACACTCCTGATGAACGGCACAAAGAAATTGGGTTGTTGAAACCTACCTTGTTACTGAGTGTCTACTCGATACGTTTTGTCAAGTGCTCAGCTTGTGAAAGATCACAGCAGATCACTAATATGGAACAGAAGGAGTTGATTTACAGGTGTCACTTAGCTGGGATTGGTTTGCTTTAGTCTGACTGCAAAACCGGAAATAACGCAAGCTAAACTAGCTCCCAGATTTCGAGTCGGTCAACTCTGAAAGAATGTGTTTTCTGCAGGCACCAACCATTTCCACCTCACCTGGAGCTGCGCTGGCAGTTGGATTGGGCGAACCAGGTGCCATGCGAATCAAGGTGGCTAGTACGTGCAACGAGACACAGTTAGCCACCTGGCTTTCGGTCTACATCCCAACATTTTCGACAGCGGGATACTACTTGTCAAGTCATTTCGATGGCCCCAGACAGTCGTTTAACGTTCCGAATGTACACAACCCCCATTCCTTGATGTTACAGCTCAGCGAGGCAATGCTGATCAACTTGTGATAGCTATTCTTCTGAGCTCAAAACACGGTACTGTTCTCAACCCATCAGTCTGCTTTTTTGTTGTCTCCACGTGATTTGGCATTACTGTTTCCTAGTCAGGTCTTGGTGTGCTTCAGTTACCATTTTACTCGACGATGCCTGAAAGATATTCGCCATTTTCAATGCCACGACGCGTTCAGGGTATTCCAAGAGACAGTACCGGCTTTCACGCCAACCGAGTGACTAGGGAACATCGCTCGTCGGCTTATTCATCCATGGTCGACCACTGCCTCTGGAATTCAGTCCACTTCCATGTTGAGGGTTAATGAAAGTGCCAGGATGGGGGAACCTGTGGAATATCGCAATGATCTCCAGTTCAAAGAGGACCCGACAGATACCTTCTGTGAAGGTTAATCATAGATCAAGGGATCAAAGGATATCTCCTTTATGATAACTTTCAAAAGGATGTTCTGCACAAAAGCTACCTCATGCTTAGGCTAGTACGGTTTACTGGATATTGCAGTAGAGTTTTTTCACAACGGACCGCCGTATTTCCCGATTGAATTTGATTCCAAGTAGAACATAGGGAACTTCGAGACTCTTCGCTCATAGGATTGGCCTGAGAAAGAAGGAAACCGACCGTGGTCTGTAGAACAGTTTTCAGCAACAGTATGGCCGGTCAGTCAGATAAACTGCGATAATTCGTAGCAACTGAAACAAGACAGTCTTTACACGCTACGAAAAATGGGTGAATGGATTTAAAACATCTATGCTTTGAAGCTTTGATCTAAGCCGAACGGCTGTACGGTAATTGGATGACAGAAAAACTGTGGGACAACGGTTTACTGTGCAATCTTATGTTGTAGACAGCTTTTCAAGACGAATAACGGGTCATTTGGACGATTCAGAGGGTAAATAATCGGTGTATTTATTGCTGAGCAACGTTTCGCTCTTGACCTAAAGGCTTCTTTAGGGCAAGTGAGTAAGTAAGTAGGTTGATTGGCTTTTGAGGCAGTCATGGAACCAATCCGTGAGGTTTCATATGACTAGCCGACTTGATCAGTGCTGGGTGTTCAGTCTGATGTTCCTGTTTGTTGGTTGGTGGGGATGACAAACGTTTACGATAGACTGGTTAGGGGGGATTCGTCTTTATGATGAACTCGGATTTTGCAGCCTTGCTTTTTCAGTCTAGCACACCTTGATGGAAAATTCCTCTTGCTTTGAAACAGCACAAACGAGAGGTTCAGCTGAGTTCCAGGTGAGTCACTCGAAAAGCCAAATTAGTTTGCAAATGAGTGTATTACGCTAGTCTCATGCAATTTGGTTTCAAGTAAAACATTAGGTTGACTGAAACTCGGGGAATGCGCCTACCTGATGAGCCCGAAAATGAGGGGCGAAATCGGTCGTGGGCTGTCAAATTTTCAGCAACCTTATGAATAGTGCATTACGAATATACATGTATCGCGATATCTCGAATATC